CAGACAGAGTGGGTGACAGTCTGACTTCTGGTAGACGACCGAATGCCTAAATAACTTTCGACTGAAACCGAAAACAACCGAAAGTTAACTTTCCTGTTTCGACCGAAACCGAAACAAAGCCGAAAATAATCACATTCGTATGAACTATGACTAAGACAACTTTCGGCGCCGGAACCGAAATTCGGTCGACCACTAAAATCAAACAAGAACAACCCGATTTTTCACAACAACGAAATCGTGTCAAGCAATTAAACAATTTATTGATGATTCAAAAATATCCAGTATCTGGTTCTGCTCTCTATGTGTTTCTGTATTTTTAGAATCGGAAAAAATAGATTTATTCTGTTAATGTGATGGGTTACTTCCGGTTACAATAGCATTACTTAAGTACAAAGCCATAAAAAGGCACATTAATACGCTATCAAATATAACAAAAATATTTGTTGGCATCCTATGAAAGCGTAAGCATTTCATAATTTTTTTTTAGATTTTTCTTCCCAGTTTGGCCAATATGTCACGGAGAAATAAAAAGATATTTTATACAAAAAAAAAAAAAAAAAAAAAAAAATTTAAAAAAAAAAAAAAAAAAAAAAAAAAGATACCGCCTGTAACTGTATATTTAGAATCGGAAATTCAACCGCCGCCGAGCTGCAGAGTTTAATATAAATTATAATATTATAAAATATTACAATTAATAAATTCTTAAAATTTGGCTCAAGTAGGAATCTCGGAAACAATTATTAGTAATGTAATTTTTATATATTTTTCTTACAAAAAAAATAGTACGGAGCTTTTTAACTAATAGAAATAAAAAATGTATGTAAGGGGAAACCATGACCCACTAGAGTAGTTTCTGTGGTTACCTCAAGCCCCCTCTGTCTAATTGTCTAAACCAGTGCAGGGGTCTCCAAACTTTTCAACCCGAGGGCCGTACTAACTATCAAAAAGCAGTTTGGGGGCCGACCACACACTCGATGTCCAAATCAAAAAGAATCAAAACATGGATGATGTTTTTAATTATTTATGTATTTTTATTTCATTCAGTTATTATTTAATAACACATTGATACACAACACATGAACAACACCTGTAGTAGTGGGAATGGTGAAATTGTGTCCTGGGTGCAAAAATGGCAGTGATTAGCAGACATTTCTGGATTTAGATTTGATGTTCCTAACACTAACATCAACAGTGACCTGAGATTATCACCGGACAAATTAAATGTGTATTCAAATTTGTTCTTCACGTATTTCTTTCTTGAAAATGTTTGTTCACACAGGTATGTTAATTCCAAGGATTGAAAGGTACATTGATGCAAATGTTTTGAAATAAAGAAAGACTTCCTTGGGCTAAAACTATTAAAAACCCACCGGTGCTTCTTTTAACTTGTCCCTAAGGAGGTAATTTGCTTACAATTCAATGACCTCCAGGTGCAGTTCATCTTGGGCGACTGGCCACATCTGCTTCAAATAGGTTTTGAAAAAGTCTCACTTCTTCTGCCTTTAAACCCAAGTCAGAAAACCGCTTCTGACACTGCAGCTGGAGGTCTTTGACAATCTCGCATACAAATGATGTGGGGAACTCAGCTGTTGCTTCAGCTATGAAGACCGTCCACTGCTGAAAGTGTGTCAAGTTGTTGGCCTGTACTTGTTCCAAAAATAAGACGAATTTGGATTGAAGGCCTTTACGTGGGTGTATAGATCAGACACTAGATTTTTCTCTCCTTGTTGTTTTAGATTCAGAAATTTTAAATGACTAGTTATGTCTGCAGCAAAGACCTATTTCAATACCCACTCTTCATCAGACAGTAATGCCCGTGGCTTGCCTTTACTTTCCAGGAAGTCACCTATTTCCTTTCTTAACTTAAATACTCTGCTCAGAACTTTCTCACACCTTAGCCATATTATTGTTGTGTAATAAGTAAATCTTGCGATTCTGTGTCTGCATCTTTCAACAGGTCTCTGAAATGTCTATGTGTGAACCCATGTGATCTTATTAAATTAACCCTGTTTATCACAGGATTCAGTACGCTGATAATTTCCACATATTTAGCACACAAAGCTCTTTGCTGAATAATACAGCGCAGGAACATTTGTTGCAGAATTTTTTCTCATTACATATCTATTTCACTTGTCCAACCAAGCCTTTCTTTATGCCACTCATGTTATTTCCCCCGTCAACAGTCAGGCAACTGAGGTTAGTCCAGTCCAAGTTATAATCAGCAATTGCTTTTTTTCAACACATTGAATATATTCCCTCCGGTAACAGTGTCCTACGTGCTATGTAGGGAAGCCAGCTCCTTTGTTATGTTCACAGCAGTTGAGAGGTGGAACAGCTGTTCAGCGATTCATCCATGGCAATTAAATATTGGCGAAACTTGCTGGCATTTTCGCTACTATAGTCACAATGTTTTCACCCATGTCTGCAACACGGCGGGCAAAGCTCCGCCACTAGATGGCGTTATATCATCTCATTGACTGTGAACGGAAGTAGAAAAACTAAGCAGCGAATAAGGTTTGGCAAAGTCATGATCGGTTGGAAAACATAACGCACTGCCGCGCGCCTCTATTTTAATTTGGTAAAAACATAACGTCCACGTAAGCGGCGTCTGATCTTGGCAGGATACACGTAAATTTCCGTAATTTTTTCCATCGACAAAAAGTTCTCCGCGGGCGCATGAGAGGCATGCGGCCCACGAGTCGTAGTTTGGAGACCCCCCTGGTCTAAACTAATTGTGAAATTATGGACTGACGAATCTAGAGGTTCATACGGTTTATTCATCACTCAGTTAAAATCTCCTTTCAAGAGGCGCATCCATTCAATGTTTGTTTTTTTCAAAACCACACGTGCGCAATAACCAGCAACATAGAATACTAACTACAACAACAGGCAAAGCTTCTTGAAATTGAAAATCACATAATGCATAAATCTTGTTCACTGACTTTCATATCAATATAGTGATTTAATGTGAGAGCGTTATTTACAGAATTGGAAGTTCTAAAGTAAAATTAAAAAAAAAAAATCCATTTAACTTTTTCTTTAATTTTAATACTAATACATTTGATATTCTAAGGTTGTTTTTGCTTCTACTTCATACACCTGCCTTATCGATTCATTGTATTGGGCTCCAACTAACTGTCTATACATACCAAGTCGAGTTTGTAAGACATCTTCATCCGTCTGAAATTTACCTATCAGTTAGTATCAGTACATAATGCATCTTAAGTTCAGGAAAACAATACGATGTAATTTCTGGAAGTGGATATTGTTTGAGAAATGGCAGTAAATGTCTCCCTGGTTAAACAACCAACATTGGAACTCAAAGTATGCCAGGCAACAAGCCATTAATTTATGGAAGTAACTTAAATAAAAAAAAAAAAATCTTGTCATTCATATCATTCTAATTGGTTGTTTAAAATTGTTGTTACACCTAAGACCTACAACAGGAGATTTAACATTAACAATTTCCACCATTTTAATATTACATCTATCTATATATATATATATAACAAAAACACGCTTTTACGGGACGTTTGAGTTTGGTCACCCTACGCTAGGGTGACCAAACGTCCAGTAAAAACGGGATTGCCCCGTTTTTTCACGATCGTACCCGTTGTCCCGTAAAAGTCTCTCGGAACGCCTAAATGTCCCGTTTTTTTTTTTTTTTTTTTTTTTTTTTTCCTAGCCCCCCCCCCCCCCTTTTTTAAACCAAACACATTTTCTAATGGCTAAAAATTACTAATTTATAATATTACTTCAAATATTATTTTGGCTAGCTGTGTAGCCAGTGCCAGTAGTGATGTGGGCTCGCGTGATGTCTGCACCGTTCCCTCTCAACCACAGTGTCCCTGCCATGGATCTTATATGTAAATGTATAGTGAAAGACACGAGACTTGAAGCAGCAGGGGTTGGGGGGGGGGAGGGGGGGATGTAACTGTGCAGAAAACAATTTTGATTCCACGACCGCTACGTGTAATGTGTTAGTCTTTTATGTGATCTCTACCGACCTGTTCGTGTCAGAGTGACAGGTGTTTGTTTTGGGTGTTGAATTTGATTCTTTAATTTTATAATATCTTCTCATGTAATCAATAATTATGCCCAAGCGTCAATGTAAGTTTATGGAGGAGTATTCCAAAGAGTGGAACTATAATATTAAATAGGGACGCTATGAAAGTGAAGCCGAGTGCACAGTTTGCAATAATGTTTTTAGTATGGGTCATTGTGGACGTTATGACATAAAACAACACATTACATCAGTGAAACTTAGGAAAAGACTGAGTGCCCCAAGTAGATTTCTAGGTTAGATTTCATAGTTAAAATGAGAATATTTCAATAAACATTTCAAGGCCGAGGCTCCCGGACCCCTTTTAACCCCCCCCCCCCCCAAAAAAAAACCCGTCTTTGAAAGCGTTCCGTTTTTTTCCAAATTATGATTTGGTCACCCTACCCTACGCCCTAAACTAACTACTAGTTAGTGGCTTTAACTTTAATACATGCGAACATGGGCGCCCGCAGGGAGGGGCCAAGGAGGGCACTTGCCCCCCCCCCCTGGATTGATTGGATAAAAAAAATTTAGACAAAAATAGACAAAAAATGTATTGAAGTAAAGAGAAAATAAAGAGAAAGTAACAAAGCTGATGTACTGTCCGTTCGTTCACCATACAAATACGCTACAGTAAATTAAAACTATATTAAAACATTACTACAAATTCCGCCCCCCCCCCCTTGGAAAGTTAATCGATTTTTTTTGAAAGCTGATGTACTGTCCGTTCGTTCACCATACAAAAACCCTACAGTAAATTAAAACTATATTAAAACATTACTACAAATTCCGCCCCCCCCCCCTTGGAAAGTTAATCGATTTTTTTTGCCCCCCCCCACCCCCTAGAAAGTTTTCTGCGGGCGACCATGCATGTGAATGTGATAATGTGGGTAATAAAAACTAACTACCCTTTCAAAACATTTAATTTTTAATTGCTGAGTAAATAAGGCAAAGGGCAAGGGCAGTAAAATCAAGAACCGCCCCGGGGATCATGAACTCTAGCTACTCCACCCACGTCCATTTCTCACAAACCAGTTCAAAGTTCAAAAGTAACAACACAAAACATCATGGCGGCATATTTGAGAAAGGTATGAAAACTCATTGGACTGTTAATTTTTGTAAGATGATGCATTTTGTTAAATTTTTTAAAGTATAAGCAAATTCTGTAACTAATATAATCCTAATTGGTAATCCCTTTTTTAATTTTAAAAAATTGTGGCTTAATTTGGTGAAATCAATCTAGGTTATGGGATGGTTTTACTTAGACCATTCACTATTCAACTACTAGTGTCACTAGGATTCTAAAGTAGAGGAGACTAATAATAAATAGAATGAGTACATCTGACTGAGTTTTATCATTAGCATGATTAATATTATAATAAAATAGCGGTAAAGTTATTGATTTCATTTCTCAAGGCATTATTATTATTTAATATTAGTAATTAGAGAGTGTTCAGAGTAGACACCTATAACTATAATAAGAAAAAGATGTAAATTTTGGACTTTGACTTTGGACTTTAGATTTAGATTTCATTTAGATTTTTAGTTTTAGTACTTGTTCAAATTACATACAAAGTAAATTTAATTAAAATTTCCTTACTTTGTAAACTGTAGTCTAGTCTAGTACAGCTCTATTCACTTAATTAAGTCTAAGTGGATATTTAGGCTTAGGGCCGGCTGCTTAACTTAGGTATAGTATAAATTATAAATTAAACTATTATGATTCATTCATTAATTATTAATTCCCGAGTGTCTCACTCACTAAGTCACTATGACTATCTAATCTTAAACTTAAGTTTTGAGTAATGATTTAGCCTGCCAAGCACTGCTGACAGTATTCTATTCCAGCATTCAGCATAACATGAATATTTATGGTTAAAAAAATAGAAAATACGTAGTGTCTACACGTCCGGTGCGCGGACAAATAGTGCGCAAGATATACGTCCGGCGGCATGTCACGTGAACGCCGGACGGCTAGTAGTTTTTATAATTCCGAACGAAGTGCGGTTTGGTAGATATTGTGTAGTCTACTGGTAAAGTGGTTCGCTTGACGTTAATATGAATTGAGGATCAATACCGGGGATAAGTTCGTTTTTTTTTCTTCCCATTTTAATTAAAAATATTTTATACTATATTTATATTATCATGTTCATCAGTAACAGTAGTTTCATGAGAAGGTTTTAAATATTTTGTAGCAATTTAAACAATTTAAAATGAAATCTTTTACTTTTATTGGTTGCCTACTCCATACTGGCCCCTAATTTATTTTATGGATTACTGGTACACAAACTCAAATAACAAACTAAACAAAAATGTTTACAAGCCACTTTCACTTAAGTTTTTTTCTATTATTTGCATTCAAGATACTCAGTACATTACTTGGTAGAGAAATAGATTTTAAAATTAATAATAGTTTTGAATCATTCACAGTCAACGTCACACGGCTGCCCGACAAGATATCTCTCGCCGCTTAGTTACGGCGGACTTGGTCGCCGGACAAATAGTGCGGGAGATATACGTCCGGCGCGCCGGACGTGTAGACACTGCCTAGAAAATATTATAAAATTTAAAGCATCCATGTCGTTGGTCTTGTGAAATTTATCTGCCGGTCAGCCAAACTTTACTGTACACTGTACTTAGACTATTAGTAATTGGGACCTGAGAGACCTTAATAATTTTTATAAACTAAATCTGATTTAGAAGAATTTATAAGCCTTAGTGTTACTTTGTGGTCATACGCTTAAAATGCAGTAGATCAAAGAAAAAAGTATGTGCAAGAAATATTGCTCACAAGCACAGGCTGAAAAGTGAAGGATTAGCACAAAGCACTATCGGCAAGATTCTTATTACAAAGAGGCTAAAATTTACCAATCTATAACATAAAAATTACCATCAATTGAAAGTGTGCACATTCAGTTTGATATTATTGTACTTATGTTGTTTCTTTTAAAATAATAATTTCTTGTATTACTATTAGAATCAGATTATGGTTTTGTTAAATAATACCATTGTCACAATTTACTCATATGTACTGTTTACACATTTTCAGATCTCTCCTCGTGCAAAGCCTCTCATTCAGGCAGCAAGAGTTTTTAAAAATGATCATCCTATCAGGTCAGCAAGTGCTGTGCCAGAGGCTGGAGGAATTTCTTTTCGTAAGATTTAAATGAATGATTCGTCCATTTTAAGTCATTAACTTTTTTTATTTAACCCTGCACCTTGATACTAGTGCTTAAAAGGAGTTTAAAGGACTGGGATCCATAGAGTTTGTTGGGCCCAAGGACAAATTAATCTAGTTTCTTTTATTTTAAAGGGGGATATTGTCTCCCAGCGATTTGGAACTCGAAGTGGATTCTGCAACTGATTACGTTTGGATTCTAAGGACCAACTCTCATTAACATCTGAGTCTAAATTTAAAGGATAATTATGAACTTCAGGCAATAACATTGGCGATCTCTCGAGTTTTTAACTAGTTTCTCTTTCCAGTCGTATTTTCATTTGTACTGTCTGCTGTCCTCTCTTAGCCGAAATGTTCTTACCTTAAAGTTCTATCTTTTGATACAAGCTTCCAGATACCTCCTTCTACTGTTTTCTCCTAAATCTAAACCAGAAATAAAGTCCCTGAAAATATTTTTTTTATTTTAAAAATATTTATAAGAAATATATTAGTAGACACCAGCGTAAAGCTAAACACTGGCAAAGGATTGTAAAATTTAAATGCTACTTCTTTTAAACCGCGTTTGTTATTCTTTTATTTTTTCTATTTCCAGTTGTATACATTGTTTAGAGTGTGGTGATCTGTGAGGATATTATTTACTTCATTCTTTTTATTTTTATTATACTAACTTGCTTGAAGTCTTCAATAAAAAAAAAATATGTCAATTTTAAAGATTAGTGTTGGACTTGAACAATCTACACCTCTGTACTGTAATAAAAACTTTTGCTGATCTTGACTCGCAGCGGTGCAGTCTCAGTGTTCAGTGTAAACAAACCTACAATGTTACAGCACTAACAAACAATGTTAACACACTAACATCCATTTCGCAGTGGAAAAATTTCCACTGATGTTTGCCATTCAGGACCAATCTATACATTATAAATTGTGGAAAATTAACTTAAATTAAATTAAAAAAGCAATCATAGTTTATTAAATACTAATAAAATTTTTTAAAATGTTAATTAAATGTGCTCTTTGTTTGTTTTTTTTGTACACGTTTATTGTACATGGCTTTAGCGAGGCCATGTACAAAATTTAACCCTCTGAGATTGATATGTCTGTTTTTTTAACAAATGTTATTTATGCACACACACAAAAATTAGCACCCGTAAGTGCATCAGGATGTCCAACTTATATAATATTGCAGAGCTATCGCCAGAGCAGCTGGAGTTCAAAGCAACAGCTCGGAAATTTGCCAGAGAGGAGATTCTACCTAAAGCTGCGGAATATGACAGAACAGGGGAGGTAATTTGATAAATTTACCTTGTTATTAAATATTGATCTCTGTTTAGTCATCGCAACAATTTTTTTATAGACTTTCTGTCAGACAGGCGCACTCTGTGTTTAAGTCAGGGGTCCACACATTTTTTTGTTAGTTGTAAAGAGCAGAATTTTAGGTTCTTAAGGCAGACTTACTTAGGCTGGAGGGAGTCCTAAATTAAGCCAGGTAAATTATGTACATTTTTTATTCTTCTTCCCACAAATACTTCTATCCCTTTAGATTAGAAATATTTTTGTGGTGTAAGAGAGTGAGGTGTGTCTATTTATCATGTCACAAGCAGAGGGGAGACATTCTTAAAGACTGGTGGTGTTAAAATAATATGATTACTCTAGTGGAGCAACTTCGTGTATATTCGGGCAGTTTGTAGATGATACTCTGCAACACTTTCTATCAAAGAATGCCCTGGCACACAGAATATTGGAAGAACACAAACACTTCATGTATGACCTGGGTTCTTCTTTATTATGTGTATCTGTCACACAGATTCACCTGGTTACGGTTTCCCCCATGTAACTACACAGCCTACCCAAAAACACAGGAGCCATGTTTACATGACGTCTCCTTAATCAACTCTCTCTCTTCCACTCTCTCTGTCTCCCGCCTTGTATCCACACACTTGTTTATTATTCTATTCCGGTCATCCAAAGATCATTCACAGTAATAACAATCATGACACAACTCACAGAACCAAACTAACAGAACGTGCAAACTAAAAACAATGATTCTCACACAGATGGTAAAAATGTGTTTAAAAATTTGAGATGAATTTTAATTTATTTAGTTGGGGTGCGGGGGGGGGGGGGGTGTTGTTTGTTGCTGTTGGTCTCCCAAACATCTCCAACCTCGCGATATTTATATAATAATAAGGTCTATGAGTTTATCAGTAAAAATACATGATAGCTGGCCGTGACTTTTTCAGTTGTAGGGTAAGAGGTAAGGGATAATTGTAACTGGCAAGTCAGTGTATGCCAGGTTAGGACAGATACAGATATTTAAGTGGAAGTTATATGAAGCAGAGACTTTTGAGATAAGAGAGAGGCACAAGCCATTAGAGCTGCATACAGTGGTAATTTTAAAGGATTTTGATTTAAAAATTCATTTCATCTTGCAGTCAATACAAAAAGGGGTTGATTTCGGCCTAGGTTCTATACTTTGCTGACCCCTGCTCTTAGGCATTTGTGTGGGATATGTAGGACATTTGTATTAACGATTTTCTATCATTTTTATTTAGTCTTTCAACTTTTAAATTATAATCTTAGTCATTTGATCCTGATCATTTAACCAAATGGTAAATGGATTTATAAACTTCCTTTGGTTAAAAATAACTGCAACTCATTGTTTATTTCAGTATCCTTGGGATCTTATAAAGAAAGCCTGGTCTCTTGGCTTGATGAACTCTCATATCCCTACACATTGTGGTAAGTTAAACCGTCTCAGAGAAAAGTCACATGTTCCCAGTTTGCAGACAGTTACGTGAATGATTAACCAACATCACAAGCTGTTAATTACCATAAAATATCAACTTTTGTGAAACAGAACTAAATGGGGCAAAGTCTTATCTTATTTATTGCACCAACAGTCGTGTCAGAATGTACCGGACTAAAAAAAAATTCATTTTTCTTTGCCACTATTTTTTGTTTACTCTAATAGAGCTGTTATCAATTTGAATTTTAAAAATCCAACAGTATACTGCCAGACTCTGGATGAACATTACCTTTATGTGTCTCCATTTTGTGATTGTCCAAATCAGGTGGTTTGAACTTGGGTCTGCTGGAATGTGTGACAATTACAGAAGAGTTGGCCTACGGTTGCACAGGTGTGCAGACAGCCATGGAAGCAAACTCACTTGGGGTAAGTTAAATTAAGTGGATGTGTGTTATCTAATTTTATTATTTTATGTATTACTATGCTAATTAAATATCACCACACTCACAATCGATGGCGTTCTCTCACTGGTAAACTTCTATTAATGTATATGACTACTTTCCTTCTATAAATCATATAAGACGGGTGGTTCAGCCCACGTTTAATAAATATTTAATTAATAAATTATTACTAAAAATCTTACACATGAAATTATAGTATGTAGATCTATACTTACTGGTATCTTAAAAAAAAACATGAAAATTTAAAATAAAAAACCTAGCTAATTATGGGTGAACAAACTTCAGCACAAATAGCGCACAAATTACAGGTAAAAGAGATAGGGTACCATCATGCTCTACATTATATAGTTTAGGCTAAGCTAGGGGATGCTTTCCCAGATGGGTCCTTTGTTTGATTTGGGTCAAGGTTACCAAGTTATTTCCATTGTTAAGGTCAGCCCTTATTGTACCATGTCAGGAAGGATAGAGATGGTGAGCCAGCGGATCTCAAAAAGTGAGGACCAGCGGATCTCAACAATGTGTGTCATATGTTTAGTGGATGTTATTATGCTGTCACTTTTGACAAGATTTATTAGGGATAATCCTGGTGGCTGATTTTTAACAAACACAATTTTTGTGGGTTCTCCTTAATTATAAATATGTTGAACTGGTTAAATCTTGGCGTAAAGCAACGCAAAAATGTCCCCACTGGTGATGATCTAAAAATCTTTTTACGGAGCTAAACTAACCTGAGTCATTTTCATGTTATTTCATTAAAGCAAATGCCTGTTATAATTGCGGGCAGTGAAGCTCAACAGAAGAAATATCTTGGACGCCTGACAGAGGAGCCTCTCATGTGTGTAAGTTGATGGTTTTCTTTTAAACAAAAATGTATAAGTGACGGTCTTGGAGGTCTCAAATACCTTTAAAATCTAAGACTTGCTGTTTCAAATGAATTGAAATAAAATATGAGCGTGAACACTTGAGCAGCAGAATTTTTTTTCATCATTGTGTACATGCTTCCCGGTTGGAAATCAAGTTTATTGGATACAGGCAAACATAAAATAATCCAGCCAATATAGAGCTGTTTGGTTGTATGTTTTTAGCTTTGGTTGTGAATAAAAGATAAATGTAAAGATGAAAGGAAATATGATGCAAAAGTTAAGTGAAAACATGATTAAATCCCACAAATTAAAAAAATGTAGATGGAATGAAAATTAAAAACAGCCTACCCCAAAGCAGGTAGGAATACACTGGTACTAAGACCAAGAAGTAACTGAGAAATGAAAAAATGAAACTAAGGAAATAAATGGTTAGGAAATAGAGAAACAGACTTTTAAAGTTGGTTGTATGTAAAAATGGAGTGGAGATTGCGTTATCACTTGAAAGAATGGAGTATGTTCATAACATGTTTAAGCCTACAAAAAACTGTATCATTCTATACTCCAAGCAGACCCTGACTGGCATATTTGGGCAGGATAAAACAGTTTGTAATCTAAATATTAGAAGCCCATTTATGGTCACTTTTATTTAAATGGGACTACACAAGGGGTTGTTTAGAGCAAATGGCAATCATGGTAGATTTTTCTTTTAAGACAGTGTTCCCCAGCCTTTCATTGCCGGCCTGCACAACATGAATATTTATGGCTAAATTAACAGAAAATATAATTAAATAAAGTAGGCACCTGTCCCTGGTGCAATTTAGAAACTTGTCCCATGGTCCTGTCCTCCAAACGTTAAGGAACCACTGGTTTAGGTGACCTTAAGACTGACCGATGCAGGAGAATAGATCAGGTAAAAAAATTTGTGCATCAGAAAAGCAACAGAACTAATTAACAAACCATTAAACTTTTGGAACTGTAGCATTGATTTTCATTAAGTACAATGAATTTACATTTCATAATACCACTCATTCAATAGACTTAAGTGGTTTAAAATTAAAGCCTCTGGTGGGGCAAATTAGAACTAAATGGGTGAATGTTCTTACCATTTCTTTGTTAAGGCGTACTGTGTGACAGAGCCAACAGCTGGCTCTGACGTGGCGAGCATAAGGACAAGGGCGGAGAAAAAGGGAGACAGCTATGTCATCAACGGACAGAAGATGTGGATCACCAACGGATCTGTGGCCAACTGGTATTTTGTTCTTGCCAGGACAAGTCCTGACGCCGGCGCGTCTGCTGGAAAGGCCTTCACGGGGTTTATAGTGGACGCCAACACACCTGGGATCACAGTAGGAAGGAAGGTATTATGTGCTACATACTTTTCTGCATAATATCACAAAAATGTCTGCATAAGTTTTAAAAGGTCCTACAATAATAAAAAAAAAGTCAGTAAAAAAAGGTCAGAGTTATCCAGAGAGAATTCTAAATATCATTCATCAAATGTTAATTTATTTTAGATAAAAAGTAGTTGCAGACTTAAGTTAATAATGTTAAGTTTAATGTGAAGGCTCAGAAAGTAGTTTTTGTCGTATTTTATTGAAAATTATTTTATTCCATGAAATTTAATAAAGTTTTATCTAAACTTACTTAAGATTATGATTTTTATGGCAGTAAAGTGGAAAAACTGATTATTAATATTATTTATGTTTGAGAACGTTTTGTCTAAAGGCTTGCGTTAAATTGAACCCAGTTTTTCTTATTACCAGGAGAAAAATATGGGTCAGCGATGCTCTGATACAAGAGGAATCACTTTTGAAGATGTTGTCGTACCCAAAGAAGTCAGTGTCCATATTATAAAAGAAAAATCTATAAGTATAACAGATACAAGTTTTTAAAAATAAGTTAGTTGTCACCAATACTTTAAAAGTCTTTACAATTCTCATAAAATAAATGTTTTTAACATTTTGGTCTTGCATAAAATCTACCTGTCAGTATTTAAAAAAAAAATAAATATGTATTATTCACTTACAATAAATAATCCAGTTAGCAATCCAATTTCTGCAATATTTTTTGTTGATTTTAAACACATTTTATAGAGTACCTAAATAAATCCATTTCCTAATTTCTTCAGTTAAGATATGGTCACTTTCTTCTCTCAGAATGTGTTGGGATCAGAAGGAGTTGGCTTTAAAATAGCCATGGGAGCCTTTGACAAGACCAGGCCTCCTGTAAGATTTTAGTCCATTAAACATTTCTGAACATTGTTTATAGGCCATCAGGTGTAAATACTTAATTGATGAATAGTGCCGCAGTACGTCAAATATTTGTTGAGACATTAAAAAGTATTGGCAGCAGTGCACAAAAGCAATGTTTGATCCCCAGAAGAAGGTAAAATCTCCAAAGGGAGGCAAGCTGTTGATGAGTGTTTTAAGGGGATTGCACTGCAGCATATTCTTTTTTGACATGAATCCTGCTGAAGGTTTTACTTACAACTTCCAAGATAAAATTTCTTAAATTTTGTAAACATCAATGTTAAGAAATGAGCACAAGCTTAATATTTTTGATCTTCATTAATTTATTTTTCAAATATTAAAAGTTCTCCTTTCCTCACCAGGTGGCAGCAGGTGCCGTAGGTCTGGCACAGAGAGCCTTAGACGAAGCTAAGCAATACTCCATGCAGCGTAAAACTATGGGAAAGTTGATTTGTGAGGTATGTTAAACTCTTAGCCTGCTATGAGCTGAGGTAAAGGCTTTGGAAATTTTGTAATCATTCCTTTTCCATGACCATCAACAAATAATGATATTAATAGTGTGTCATAAATAATATATGAAAACAGTTTTTATTTACATCAATGTAAGCATTAGTTGAACTTTAAAGATTTAACAACTTTTAAATTTCTTTGACATAAAGCTAACAAGGGAAAATCATTTTTTACCTCTTCCTAAGGCGTTCTTTCATTTTGAAATATATTTAATCAAATAGCATCAGGCAGTGGCCTTCATGCTGGCTGACATGGCCATCGGTGTTGAGGCCGCAAGGCTTTTGACTCAGCGGTCAGCCTGGGAGATCGACCAGGGCAGGCGAAACACTTACTATGCGTCCATTGCTAAGGCTTTTGCTGCCGATGTGGCCAACAAGGCTGCCGCAGATGCAGTCCAGGTGAGTTTGACAGAATAACCAATAGGTCTTGTGAGGGAGGTGATGGAAGGAGCACCAGGTGAATTGGGAGGTGCTAATATATTGATTTAAATTTTACTTAAAGACATGAGATGCTTAGAATAAAACTCTTGACCATTTCTTCTACGTTCCTAGATATTTGGAGGCAATGGCTTTAATACAGACTACCCCGTTGAAAAACTGATGAGAGATGCCAAAATTTACATGGTGAGTTGTTCTTGTCATAGACATAGGAATTAGCTACATTTGGTGATACTTAAAAAAAATTTAGTATAAAATTTAAAAAAAAATTATAGTATATTTTTTTTATTTTTAAAGTATAACAGTAACAGGATAAGACACACATTGTATTTTTAAATTATTTTCTTTTCATTTTGTAGCGGTGTCAGGGCTTTCCTTTTTCAAACCATAAGTTTGCATGATAATTTCTCGTCCGTTCCAGATCTATGAAGGTACATCACAGATCCAGCGTATCATTATTTCTCGAGAGCTACTCACACAAAACACGAATTCTTCATAGGATGATGCCTGGCTTTGACCCCCCAAAATAGACGTGTACTTGACAAAGAGTTGTGTGCCCAGATTTATGATGAAAAATTATATGCTGGCTCAGAGCACACAAAAATTTCATTGATTGTGATGAATTTCTAATTTATAAAATTTGTTTGTTTAAAATTTTAAGGTAAGAAACAACATAGCTTTCAGATTACTTAACAGAAAATGATAAATCTCAACACTGTTGATTGATCATTAATTATGTTATGATTATAAATGGGCTACAAAACAATTTGACCTGTGACTCCTACTTCAGTGAGTCCAGATCTATCATTTCATGTCACTAATGACATTCATTATGAATGTGATAACTCTGTTTAATCACACAAAAGATAACTCTGTTTAATCACACAAAAGATAACTCTGTTTAATCACACGAAAGATAACTCTGTTTAATCACACAAAAGATAACTCTGTTTAATTACACAAAAGATAACTCTGTTTAATCACACAAAAGATAACTCTGTTTAATCACACAAAAGATAACTCTGTTTAATCACACAAAATGTTCAATTTTAAAAATCGAATCATTTTTCTTTCTAAAATGCAAGAACTTGCTCAATGTCATGTAAGAATTTTTAAACTATTGATCATTACTTAATACATGTCACTGATCACTTACTTACTTACGCCTTTTTACCCCATGTGGGGCATAGGATGAATACAAGATTTTTTCCATTCTTCACAGTCCTCTGCTTTCCTTTTCAGTTGCTTCCAGGTGTATCCCACACTTTGCGTGTCTGCCTCCAGCTCACATCTCTGTGTATTCTTTGGCCCTCCTCTCTTTCTTTTTCCCTGTGGATTCCATGTTAGAGATTGTCGGGTGATTCTATCTGGTTACGTTAGTTTTGAACAAATGATTTTTTGAAGTTCAGACATTTTTTTTTTCTAATGCAGTGGTTTTAAAATATTTTGTCTGGCACACCAATACAAATTTATCCAAAACATTGAAAGGCCTAACAAGAAGTGCATAAAAAAAGTCTCTAAGCATATTCTTCTTTTTTGTTAGATTGGTTTGTATGGATTATATATATCATATGTGGATTATATAAAATCTTACCTCAAATGACCCAAACTTGAACTGATAAAATGGCAGAAAATTTTTTTCCCCCACTGATTTATATCCTCTTATATCAAGATCTTGCTAAACACCTGTATACCATATCAACACACTGATGAAAAACCACTGGTCCAATGTAATGTCAAACATCATGTATAAAATTGAGACTTTCATTGAAACAAAAATATAAATATTAATTCCCATAAATTTTCATTAAAGGATGTGTAAAGTAAAAGTTAACATAAACCAATTTAATTTGTAATAAAACTTACCAAAATGTGCCTTTAATAATATTTGTTTGGTTCACATCGCACACAATAAAACGTATGGTAATTTATAAGCAAGTGGAGACAACTGCCTTTCAATGTACAATCCAGCCTGTGCCATTTATACGGTTGTCTTTCTTTGTGGACGCCACAACTTCTTCCTCTACCAGATTTTTTTGTGGTAATTATTGAAGCTGTGATTACTGTGAATATTTTATAAATTGTTGTGTTGGACCAGACAAGTGGCCAAATAATTTGAAATAAACTGTTTAACAAGCCCATATCTGACTCAATGTGTTGTTTTCTGGGTGTATTTTTGGGGCATTAAAAATTTTAAAACACAATATTTTTTTTACCAGAATTAAACTATACAATCAGTTACATGGTGAATATTTTGTTGCATTTATCCACTTGAAAATTAAAATTGGAATATTTTTTTTTTTACACTCTGTCAGCCTTGGATGGAAAAAATATTTTTTTAAAGGGAAATAAATTTCATTCTGCAAGTCACCAGGAGTCTCTGAAACGAAGAGCTGAAAGATTTCACACGTCATTTTTTTTTTAAAAATGGAAGAGATGAAAATGCATTGTAGTTTTTTGGGGGGGGGGGGTGGGGGGGGAGGAGAAGACAACAGTGGCGTAGGAAGAAATTTCGTGGAGGAGGGCAGTAGGGATAAAGGGGAAAGATATCTTTTCATCCCCTATGCATGGAGGAGACTCTCCGCGTTACAAGCTAGTGTGTTGTATAACACGATAATGTGTGTATGCTCTTAAAATTCAAGATTGATTTCCAAAACATGGCCATTATAAAAATTGTATACAACTGAGGTCAATAGCCCCACCCATTTTTTTTATTGTTGCATATCCCCAATTTTCTTAACTATAAAAACGTACATGGTCAAATAGGGTACAAAACAAGTTTGCGTTATGAAATTAACTCTAAGACAACTTTTTACCGTCTTAATGTTTGGGGGTTGAACGGATTTTGATTTTGTCACAATATATACTTTCAAAACTGTTTTCCAGTAGCCTAAGACTTCAACTGCTGGATTATGAGTTGTGATTGTGCTTCATTCGCTATTTATATAAATGTGAGACGTTTGATTGTACCAAATGTACTTTATATGCGTATGGTTTCAAGTAGGCCTACAAGTATATAAATGTCCCATATAATGGTTTCAAGAAGCCTTACAAGTGTATAAATATTCCATATATCATATAGTGGTTTCAAGTAGGCTTACAAGTGTATAAAAATTCCATATATCATATAGTGGTTTCAAGTAGGCTTACAAGTGTATAAAAATTCCATATATCATATAGTGGTTTCAAGTAGGCTTACAAGTGTATAAAAATTCCATATATCATATAGTGGTTTCAAGTAGGCTTACAAGTATATAAATGTCCCATATAATGGTTTCAAGTAGGCTTACAAGTGTATAAATATTCCATATATCATATAGTGGTTTCATGGTTGCAAGTAGGCCTACAAGTATATAAATGTCACATATATCATATACTGATTTCAAGTAGGCCTACAAGTATATAATGTCCCATATATCATATAGTGGTTTCATGGTTGCAAGTAGGCCTACAAGTATATAAATGTCCCATATAATGGTTTCAAGCAGGCTTAAAAGTATATAAATATTCCATATATCATATAGTGGTTTCAAGTAGGCTTACAAGTGTATAAAAATTCCATATATCATATAGTGGTTTCAAGTAGGCTTACAAGTATATAAATGTCCCATATAATGGTTTCAAGTAGGCCTACAAGTATATAAATGTCACATATATCATATAGTGGTTTCATGGTTGCAAGTAGGCCTACAAGTATATAAATGTCACATATATCATATACTGGTTTCAAGTAGGCCTACAAGTATATACTGTTCCATATATCATATAGTGGTTTCAAGTAGGCTTACAAGTATATAAATGTCCCATATAATGGTTTCAAGTAGGCTTACAAGTATATAAATGTCCCATATAATGGTTTCAAGTAGGCTTACAAGTATATAAATGTCCCATTATAATGGTTTCAAGTAGGCTTACAAGTATATAAATGTCCCATATAATGGTTTCAAGAAGGCTTACAAGTATATAAATGTCCCATTATAATGGTTTCAAGTAGGCTTACAAGTATATAAATGTCCCATTATAATGGTTTCAAGTAGGCTTACAAGTATATAAATGTCCCATATAATTGTTTCAAGTAGGCTTACAAGTATATAAATGTCCCATTATAATGGTTTCAAGTAGGCTTACAAGTATATAAATGTCCCATTATGGTTTCAAGTAGGCTTACAAGTATATAAATTTCCCATTATAATGGTTTCAAGTAGGCTTACAAGTATATAAATGTCCCATTATAATGGTTTCAAGTAGGCTTACAAGTATATAAATGTCCCATATAATGGTTTCAAGAAGGCTTACAAATATATAAATGTCCCATTATAAGGGTTTCAAGTAGGCTTACAAGTATATAAATGTCCCATTATAATGGTTTCAAGTAGGCTTACAAGTATATAAATGTCCCATATAATGGTTTCAAGTAGGCTTACAAGTATATAAATGTCCCATTATAATGGTTTCAAGTAGGCTTACAAGTATATAAATGTCCCATATAATGGTTTCAAGAAGGCTTACAAGTATATAAATGTCCCATTATAATGGTTTCAAGTAGGCTTACAAGTATATAAATGTCCCATTATAATGGTTTCAAGTAGGCTTACAAGTATATAAATGTCCCATATAATGGTTTCAAGTAGGCTTACAAGTATATAAATGTCCCATTATAATGGTTTCAAGTAGGCTTACAAGTATATAAATGTCCCATATAATGGTTTCAAGTAGGCCTACAAGTGTATAAATATTCCATATATCATATGTAGGCCTACAGGTCTATACATGTCACATGTACTGGTTTAATAGTTTTATGTAGGCCTACAGGTCTATACATGTCACATGTACTGGTTTAATAGTTTTATGTAGGCCTACAGGTCTATACATGTCACATGTACTGGTTTAATAGTTTTATGTAGGCCTACATGTCTATACATGTCACATGTACTGGTTTAATAGTTTTATGTAGGCCTACAGGTCTATACATGTCACATGTACTGGTTTAATAGTTTTATGTAGGCCTACAGGTCTATACATGTCACATGTACTGGTTTAATAGTTTTATGTAGGCCTACAGGTCTATACATGTCACATGTACTGGTTTAATAGTTTTATGTAGGCCTACATGTCTATACATGTCACATGTACTGGTTTAATAGTTTTATGTAGGCCTACAGGTCTATACATGTCACATGTACTGGTTTAATAGTTTTATGTAGGCCTACAGGTCTATACATGTCACATGTACTGGTTTAATAGTTTTATGTAGGCCTACAGGTCTATACATGTCACATGTACTGGTTTAATAGTTTTATGTAGGCCTACAGGTCTATACATGTCACATGTACTGGTTTAATAGTTTTATGTAGGCCTACATGTCTATACATGTCACATGTACTGGTTTAATAGTTTTATGTAGGCCTACAGGTCTATACATGTCACATGTACTGGTTTAATAGTTTTATGTAGGCCTACAGGTCTATACATGTCACATGTACTGGTTTAATGGTTGTATGTAGGCCTACAGGTCTATACATGTCACATGTACTGGTTTAATGGTTGTATGTACGCCTACAGGTCTATACATGCCACATGTACTGGTTTAATAGTTTTATGTAGGCCTACATGTCTATACATGCCACATATACTGGTTTAATAGTTTTATGTAGGCCTACATGTCTATACATGTCACATGTACTGGTTTAATAGTTTTATGTAGGCCTACATGTCTATACATGTCACATGTACTGGTTTAATGGTTGTATGTAGGCCTACAGGTCTATACATGTCACATGTACTGGTTTAATAGTTTTATGTAGGCCTACAGGTCTATACATGTCACATGTACTGGTTTAATAGTTTTATGTAGGCCTACAGGTCTATACATGTCACATGTACTGGTTTAATGGTTGTATGTAGGCCTACAGGTCTATACATGTCACATGTACTGGTTTAATGGTTGTATGTAGGCCTACAGGTCTATACATGTCACATGTACTGGTTTAATAGTTTTATGTAGGCCTACAGGTCTATACATGTCACATGTACTGGTTTAATGGTTGTATGTACGCCTACAGGTCTATACATGTCACATCTACTGGTGTGTGACGTCATTTGGTGGGGTTGTGGAAATTTGTTTTTTTTTAAATGGAGGGGGGGGAGGGTTAAACTGGAAATAATAAATATAAAGGAGACAATGATGTGTAGGCTACGTTTGATCGAATCCACGAATCCAGACACAGGATCAGCGGGAATGTCGGAAATACCAAAGCAAGAGACCAGTACAATTATACTCATCCAAAGTTAAAAGCAGGTCCACCAGTCACTAGTGTGTTTAGAGCCCCCCCCCTCCCTTTTTTCCCAACTCCACCGGTTTACTTGCAACATTTAAAGTGTGAGATTATTTAAGTCGTATAACTCAGTCTGGTATAGTCCAGCAGCTGTTTGGTCAAAGTCAAACCACTTACCAAGTGAAAATTTGCAAAATTCAAAGCGTTTTCAATGGTGTTAGGAAGCGCATTAAGTAACACGAGCTGCCATTGACGACATATGATCCTGTTAACTACACTATCGGTCAATTTATTTCATGGCTTTTTTTTTTCGGTAACATCATCAAATGGTTTTCGCAGTCAAGCCGTGTGGAGGCCAGGATGTGTTTTTGCAGGCTGTTGCGTGTGGTTTTTAATGCTTGTTCATCAATTCAACCATTGATTACTGACTACATGAAAAATAATTATTCACTTTGGGGCAGACATTCATAAAATATATATATATATATATATTTTTTTTTCATGCAAATTTTTGGGGGGTTAAATTAAAAAAGAAATTGATATTTAACAACCAACAAAAATTAACAAAATCCCTTCGATTTTTTTGCAGTACCGGTAACGTTAAATAACAACTTTTAAGTTATGTTGTGTAACTGGTGTTTTTATACGTGTTTTTTTTTTTTTTTTTTTTTTTTTTTTTTTTTTTTTTTTTATTTTAGAAAAAATTTTAAAAAAAAAAAAAAAAAAAAAAAAAAAAAAAAAACAACTGAGTTCACAACTGGCACATCAATGTCACTCCAAACGACTACTCTAAATAAAGTGCTTTTAAAAACTGAAGTCATTGTCTCATTAAGAGAACAAAATAACAGCTGAAGCAATGAAATCAA